GTTGGTGTCAAAAGATCTGGCTTTATTCAACGGTCAGGTATGCCAAGCTTCAGCTCTCTATCGCCGGCGTGTTCGGAGCTATCGCGAAAAAAAACTATGGAGGGGCGGCACCCGCCCCCCCCCCCCCCCCTCGGCCGGCGAAGGTTAAGGCCCTCGGAGAACAGTACAGGGCCTGCAAAGAGCAGTTTGAGACCTTAAGATGCCGACTTGGGCCATCAGAGGCTAATGTGGGTCCTTACAGGCCAGCATGGGCCCTCAGAGGTCAATGTGGGACCCTAAAATATCGGCATGGGCCGGTGTTGGACCCCAGACTCCAGAGACCAGCAAAAGGCCCTCAAAAACCAAGATGGGCCTCAGAGGCCGGTATCAGGTCTTCAGATTCCCGTGCAAGGCCCTCATAGGCTAGTGTGGGTCCTTACAGGCCAGCATGGGCCCTTAGAGGTCAGTGTGGGGCCCTAAAAGACCGTCATGGGCTAGCGTTGGACCTCTAAGGCCAAGATGGACCCTCAGAGGCCGAAGTGGACCCTTACAGGCCGGCATCGGGTCTTCAGAATTCAGTGCGGGGCCCTCAGAGGCACCTAAAGGTTTATCTTGGGGCCCCAGAGACAGAAATGAGGCCACCAGAGGCCGGTGTGAGGCCCTCAGACGCCGGCTGGGCCCTTGAGGCCGGTTAGGGGCCCTCAAATGCTAGGAGGGCCCTAAGAGGTCAATGTGGGCGCTTGACCGCCACTGAAGGGCCCTCCGAGATCAGTGTAGGACCCTCAAAGACTGGTTTGGGAGTTATTTATAGCTGGCGTGGGATTCTTGAGCCTCCTGACAATCGAATAAGGGCCAGAGCCCCATACGCCCATGGGGGCCCATTGGTTGTTTGGGGGGGGCAAATGATATGATGGCCCCCTGATTAGCCTTTGGAGGGGGAAGGGCATGGCCCTGATCCCCCTTCTGCGACCGCCACTGTACTGAAAGTGGAAAGGGGAGGGGCAGATACAGACATTGCTGGCCCCCAGCCTGTTTGAACCGAGGCGGGGGCACGGTCACCCTGGCCCCCAGCTAGTACCTACGCCTTTGACGAACTATGCCGACCCCAAGCAGATCTGGTCAAGCGTTGGTCGTTTGTATACGCATTCTCCTGCACCGTGCTAGTATTGTCTTATACCTTTTCAGTGCTCGCTGTCCTGCGCCTTGCAATCAACAAAATGCTGCGGCACCAGGACTCACAGTCTTGTCTCTGATATGGTTTCCTTCATGTGAAGGAAATTGCGGTCAATAACGCTGTAGGAACAAAAGGGAATCTTCATTAAAGGGCAAGCTGAATAGTTGTCAAGTTCTGGTGTTTAGGGTACCGGGTGGTAGGTACAGAGTAGACAGACACTTAAGTCAGCAAAAAGTGGGGGGGCCAGTTAACATTGCTGGCCCCCCCCCCCCCACCTCCGAAAGTGGGGGGGCCATGGCCCCCCGCCCCCCCCTGTTCCTACGCCTATGCCAGTATGAGTAATATTTTTTTCTGGATGATATTTTATTTAGTCTGATCAATTTACGACCAGAAAATATGAGAAAATCACGCTTTAAAATTTGTCGAAAATTAGGGTATTGGCCACTTTTGAACCCAGATAGCGGCTGTGTGCGCCGGTCAGCTAACATTTCGACCTCTTCGGCTGTTCGCGACAAGTTTCCATGGTGACGGAAGATAAGTAGCGGAGCTTGTTAGTATTAATTGACCAGTACCTAAAAGTAGGTAGATCATAAAGTTACAGATTAAATTGCATTTGCTTTCTTCAATTAAAGCTCAAAACTCATATGGTCAAACACTTGAAATAATATCATTAATTACAGGCTTTATACTGCTCGTCCACGCACTGCCCCTAGCGGCAGGATGACAAACTAATCATTTACAGCAGAAACCGCCCGGTATAGGTGCAAGGGTTGTTGCGTGAGCGCTACGCGGTCCATTCGTGCTAGTGAGGAAGGCTTTGGTGAGTTGGTGACATTGGTGTAGTGTGATTTCCGTTGACGAAGAGTTAGATAGTCAAGGAAGTGCGCTATGGTGGACATCGGAGCGGCCGTAAAAAGTGCATGATGCAATTTATGTAAACCACGTGATCTGACCGGCGAGTTCATGCTAAGAGTAACGGCGCTGCGAGTTATCGAACTATCAGTGAGTTTGTGAGTGAGATGATCGGGTGGGTGAGGTTTGGTGAAAATATGGCCAGCGTCAACCGCTGGGGAGGAGCACCTTGGACCAAAACCACTGCTCGCTTCCAGAACTTTCTACAAGTTACAACAGACCGGAGCTTCGGATCCTGAACGGTAAGTCCGTTCCCGACTGGAGCGGTGTTTCATTTTTTTATCGTGGGTGATTTGCCTCGCATTCGTATTGACATGTCCGGACGAGTACCCACATTATTTTGGACGGCTGCCAACCTATGCTCGCGGCTCCCGACACCGACCGGTCGCCGCGGGCGCCGCTCGTCGGGGTCGGGTCAGCCAGCTGACCTCGGACCCGGGGCCGGCAGAGGTCAGCGGTGGAATCTGAAAACAGGGTGCCGGAGGATATTTCTAGTCACATGACTATTAACCCGCGCCCCGTAGGGCTGTAGGCGAACCCTACCACCGTATAGGGGGGGGGGCGTTTCGGCCCCTAAGATCTCGGAAATTTACTGGCCGATTTTCAAAATTCAAACGGCGTTCGATAGCTCCATCGGGGAACTATCTTGTGATCAAATTTCATTGACCTAGGTCAAACCGATGACGTCACAGGTCAGGTCGAAGGTCGGATTTTCACCGTTCACAGGCTTTTCAAGAAATGTGTTGTTAAGTCGAGTAAATTGGTAAGTTATTGAAAACCATCGATGGTACATTGTTCGTCAAACACATACTTTGCTATCTGAGGTCACTGATACCAGATCAGGTCACAGAAGTCAGGTCACTGGGGGTCACAATATGAAAAAGTCGTGTGATACATGTTTTATGGTCCATTTTACATGACAAATGCGATTATGTGGGTCAGGCAGCACTTTGGGGCCACCTTAGGTTAGGTTCTGGTGAATTTCAGGTCAAGGTCAGGTCAAATTAGGTCAAATTTCAAAGTTGATATTTTTGCATAAAATGGGCATCGATTCGATGCAGCTCGTCACGGGGAGCCTAATGGTGTTCTTTGTTTTGCCCTACGTGGTCTAGAATTCCCAAATATTGAATTTGAAAATTTGACGTCAACATTTTTGAAGTTTTTTTTTCGCTATAACTATCGATCTGAAATCGATCGATCGATCGAAAATATAACTATCGATCTGAAATTTTGTATGGAGATAGAAGACGGTAGGTACTATCATATATATATTCCGTTTTTCGAAAAAAAAACTGTCAGATTTTTGCTAATATATAAAAAAATGCTTTTTTGATTTTGGGGAGTCAAAACTCAAAAAATTCAAAAATCTGAGATAGCAGTTTTGTAGACCTGTTAATTCTTCACCTTTTATTTATTGATCATTTTTATGTATCTTCAAAGCTGTAGGCCTGAGAGCTCTTCCCGCGAAGGTCTTTTTCGGTCGAAAATGGCAGAATATGACGTCATGCTTACGTTATTTGTGGCCAACCTATCATAGCCTTTGGACAAAATTTTGGTCACAATGTGTAAAATTGATGCCCGCAGGGGTCTTGAAAGTTTTGTGGCGATAGCTCTAGTCGTTTAGGAGATATCGAAGGAAAAGGACAGGGGGGCGTTTCGCCCCCCCCCTCCCCCTACGGGGCGCGGGATAAGAGTTTCTCACGCAATCGGTGCCTTTTACTGGCTAATTGTCATGTGCCTGAGGCGAGCGAATTTCAAGAGCCTTGATCAAATCGCCCAAGTTTTCAGATTCCACCAGGTTAGCTACCCAGGGTCGGCAATCGCAATTATACGATACGCACTGCTGTAGGGATGACGGCAATTTTCGGTCATTGACTATGACAATCTACAAGAAATTCTTGCTCGTATAACGTTACGTGTGAGGGCTGGAAGTTTGAGGAAGTAGGTATATGCTTCTTGGACAAGTCAGTCAAATCGGTTAGCTTTTGAGTGTCTACATAGCTCTTCCGACTTTGACAGTCACATGACGGAAAATACCTGTAGGTAATACTTATCAGACCTTTCATCTTCCACCGGTTTTCGCTGGGCTATCATTTTACTTAACTCTGACGGTTCTTCACAAGCTCTGTGTTATTTTGTTCATCTGTATGATGCTATTATATTTAAAATATTTTTTGTTAAGATTATTTCAGCGATGTCCGTCAAGACAACCCATATTCAGTCCGGATTCGGGAAGCCTCTGATGCACTTATGCACTTATGAGCACCGGCCCAGCGCGGGACGAAGAGGAATAACTGCAATCGAAATTCGAAAGCACATCATTGGTAGCCCATAGACTGTGCAGTAGCCCCCCCCCCCCCCCCCTGCAAACCCATAGTGAATATGTGACCTCATGTAAGCTGGACAGCGATAAAAATTAGATTAATCGACGCACCCTAGGCCTTATACATAGCTTTTGGGGTAAAAGCAATGACTGGAAAGTGGCTCCAGGTCCTGGCGAGTCGTTTGGTGCCCCTATCAGCGTTCTATAGATCTCATTCGGGTAGAACACAATATGCTGTTCAAATTTGGATGTCACATGACCTTTGTTGACCTCTGTAGGTCAAACGGCTATAAGCTAGGCTAGGCTAGGGGTGACGGCGAATGGTTATAGGCCTTGTATTCTAGCTACACTCAAAGGGCTCTGCTGTGTGTGAGTTTGAAGTGGATCCGAGGCGTCCCGAATCTGGGCTGAATCCGGGCTGAGTCCGCGGGCTGAATATGGGCTGTCGTGACTTGCATATTTCAACGGGTCTGGTAAGGTTAAACCTGCAAGGTTATCTGTTAAAGTGTTTCATGTAACTCATGTTTACTATACATTTAATATCCATTCGCAGACATATTAGACAGAAACTAACATGATATTTTCCAACAGTTCTAAGAACTCATTACTCACATGGTTGCTGGAAACCAACTTCTTCTTTTTTCATTTGTTGTGGGGCTGCCATTCCACATAAAAATGCTTTGTTGCACTGCTAATATACCTAATGGCTCGTCGAGTCGTTCTCTAACAAATCGATATCATTAGACTTGAGTCGTTTGTAAGCACCAAACAGACCCTCCTTTGTTTCTTCGGACTCAGCAACCTTTCAACTTGACAAAGAAATTCAACGAGCAGCACTTACTAAAGCCATTATTCTTTCTGCAGCAGCGATGACCTGCAAACCTGTACTTCTTTCAATTAGCACAACACCACTAATGAACTCCCTTTGTAAATGAATCCACTGCCCAGAAAGTCCTCTCGATAACGAGCTTCAGTTGCGACTGTGGACACCCACTGCCGCTGCCTACTGCGACCACATACTGGGGCCAAAGGTCAGGGCCACAGTGCGTCCCGCCGGAGCACTGTTGTCCCCAGACTCCAAGGCATGGTCTGGACTGGATTCAATCTTAGACTGGGATGCATTAACGCCCAACAGTCTGAGACTGTTGTTCGTTTTCATAACATAATTGCTCTTACCAAGGTGACATAGGGGAACTGTTTTCAGGCAGCGCTGTCACATCTGGAATATCGTCTGCTTGTAGCGAGAGCAGACGCGTTGCGGCCGGCGTTTGTTTATTGTTAGTATGAGGCGCGGAATGGATGATGAGCAAGGACAGTGAGCTTTAGCAAAGTGCGGCTTTGAATAGCCTCAACGCCTCGACCGTAAAAGTCTATACGAAAAAAGCATTGATAAGTTTAGAAGTATGCATTTGTAGTGTCCTATACATGCTGTGAAGCATTAAGTTATGTGGCGTAGCTAATACAACAACATTCCTGCATAAACATAGGTACCCAATACCCATGGTCAGTCTGCACTTTGCACTCCACTGCAGGTCGATGGTTTCAAGAATCTGCATACAATTATGTGCCTGTTCAAGCTCTTGGCATGAATAAAACAGTGCTATTCGTCAATGATAAGGTCAATCTGAAACCAAATATCTGGCGCTATATAACTATACAGCATATACTTTACAGCACTTAACTAGTTATTAAACATATCATTAAGCCCCTACACTGAAATGCCACACTGCTTTGATTGCTTCAGGAAAATAAACGCAGTGGATTTCAGTCTCTAGTGACCCATTATCTAGGAATAATGTACAGAACCTTTGCCAGGCAAGAATGTATATGCCACAGCACCACAGAAACCCTTTTGAAATAACAATGAAGCAATGCGATGAACAATGAGGATCCGCTTTTGGTGGTCGTTCGTTTTATTTGTTTGTTTATTTATTTTGTTAGGCTGGTTCGTTTCGTTGTTTGTTGGACATCGACATCCTCCCTTTCGGTCCAGCAAGACAAGGTCAGAACTGGAAGAGATCTGGAATTAGGGGGAGATATTGCTCTGCAGACAGTGGGCACTGGGCGGCCACCCTGTTGGTGCGCTGCCGAGGCTGAGCCCGACAGGCCACTCGGCCTCCCTAACTACCGGTCACCCCTCTGCACGTGAGCCTGCTCCTGAGGAGCTACTCACATCGGATGAAAGCTTCGGTGACCGTCCAGCCCGTAGCACGATGTTTGATGCGTGAAGGAGTCAGGAGAAGGATCTTCTTCCCTGAGGATTGATCAGAGGGATTGGAGAATCGGATAGGTGGTCGGTGATTATCCTTATTTGCATCCTAGGAACCTTGGCTGCTGGACTTCCACACGACATCTACGTAGCGCCATGGTTTTGGTAGACTGCGATAGATGACGCTGCTGTGTCCGGGACTGTCGTTTGTCGATCACTTTCCACGAGAATCATACCATGATTCTCGCTTTCACCAGCAGCACTTTCCATGTGACTCGATATTTGATGAAATCATAGCATGGCATGCTTTCAAACTATATGTAGGCGTTGTTAAATAGGTAAATAAAATAGCATATTATAGGTGCTTAATTAGGTGCTTAACCCTATTAGTGGCAGGGGGTTGTTTTCATCCACCCCTCAGGTTTTTCGGAAATATCTCCGAAACCGCTGAAGCTACGATGCTGAAATTTTCTGACTTTTCCTAAAACTAAATTGGGCACATTCCCTAAAAATTTCAAGTTCATAACTTTACCAGGGGCGGCTCCAGAGCACTGGGAATTGGGGGGTCCTATTCGTGAAGCGAGTCATTTGGGCGAAGATCACGATGCTGATGTATTATAACTGTATGCACCAGTTTTACGAACAGTGAATGAAAGGTATCATGTGATAACATATACAAAGTTATTGTGCATCCTCTTTTGACACGTTTTTGCTATAATAGGCGGATCCAGGCGTCCAAAAAGGGGGGTTATGTTTTACCTCCCAACATAGGTGCCCTGACACCGCCTATGCATGACCAATACAATTGTAGTCGTTCTCTCATAAGAAAATTGTAACATAACAAGACCATTACCACCCTTTTTAGAAACAGTACCAACAAAAACCTTATTTACTATACTTTTTGTGTACCCCCAATTTCAATGACCTGTATCCGCCCATGATTGTTGAAAATGCATATTTTTAGGATCCATGTGAATTCCTGGTTCATTCTCTATCGATCGGCAAAAGTTGCGTTAAGATTGGTTCAGAAACCTGGCCGTGATAAACAGTCTAAAATGTATATGCAATTTGCCGGTTTTTACCCCCCTGTTGGTGCAGCAAAACCAAGAGTCACAATTGCATAAAATCCAGGGCCCGACGGCTTTGCAGCGATAACCGCTCGTGAAAATTTAAATGACAAGTTTAACGAATTTAGGTAGACTCGAGAGACAAAAAGGAGAGAAAGAAAATTTTTGAAATGGCTTGAATGGCAAACCTCGAAACGATAAATATAATATAGGAAACGAAACAAATGAAGAAACACTAAGAACCGCGAAGTAAAACGAAGAAATCAGAAGAATAACGAAACGAAATGAAAAGTGATTAGTAAATCATGACGGTGTATTGACATGGAAATCACTTGCGAGGTTAAAATACATGTTAAATTACGATTAAGTTGATATCGTATCGAATCACCAAAGCCATTTGATGCCAACAGGCACTAACAGTTTCGAGGTGTCTATATCAACAATAGTGCAATGCAAGAATAAATGTTATCAAGAACTGAAAGTCGAATATTCACAGTTTTAGGCTCAGCTGAGTCTACATTGAAGCTATCATTACTCCCGATATTATTTGAGCCTGGTGTTGTTCCGTCAAGAAGAATTGTTTGAAGAATTGTCAAGAAGATTAATAGCACGCTGCTATTGCTAATTCGAATTCATACAAAAGTTGTCAAACCTGCTATCGAGGTAAGGTCTACACAGCAATTATAATCCCTGGCAACTAAATCAACGGCATCAACTGCATAACTTGGACACCCGTTGGCCTGTGCTTCACCCTAGTTTCTTAGCGTACCGTTACGAGACAATGGAGAATTTGAAAGTGTCTGAACTTAAAATGATGCTGAAGGCACGCGGTCTTAGCTGTAAAGGAAACAAGGCCACGCTTGTAAATAGATTGGTAAATGTGCTAGGAGCGCGGAATACGTTAGATGCCGAGCCATGTTTGGAAAATAGTGCAGTTCATCCCGATGACAGTGTGTCCCGTGTTGAGTCCCCGTCTGCTTCTGTGTCTCCTTCCAATGTTAAGTCTGAGTTAAGGCGCGCAGAGGAGGCAGCCGATAGAGCCGCTCTCATCGAAAGATTAAAGTCCTTAAAAGAAAAACAGCTCATTGAGAGTCAAATCGCTGAACTTAGACGTGGACAGGAGCTGCTGGAAATTCAGGCGACTTTAAATGAATTAACTGCTAGAGAGCAGGCGTTAAAGACGTATAGAAATGATGATGATGTAAGCCCATTACCAGCGAGCTTTCATTCGTTACCCTCACATGAGACGGAAACTCCTCGCATCTCTCACTCTCACGCTAACCCTACACTCCAGTACGTCCCAAACTTGCGGCCGGATATATCTCAGCAAGCACCACCCGCGTTTAGTCGCCGCGCTCATGAAGGCACATCTGCTGCTTTAATAACCGAAAGAGAAAGGACGGCAGCGTTGATGCGTCTGCCTCCGATCGAAATCAAGAAATTTGGGGGTGATACCACTCAGTTCGCTCAGTTTATTCGATGTTTCGAAATGAAGATCGCTTCTAAATTGGATGATGACAGTGAAAAGTTATATTACCTGGAACAAAACATAATTCCGGGAAGTAAGCCGCACAGTATTGTTGAGAGCTGCATGTATCTTGAAGACGGGTATCAACATGCGATGCAGATTTTGCACAAGAGGTATGGCCAGCCTAGCACAATCGCAGCTGCCTTTATTGATAGAATAAGTAGCCAGGAACAGCTCAATGCAGAAAATGGAGAAGAGCTGGACCAGTTCTCGTTGTTGCTCCTCAGTTGTAAGAATGCACTAGGAAGCTCGTGCAGCTTCATGAATGATCCTCGAACCCTGCGTACTATTACAAGGAAGCTACCGGTACCACTCCTGAGTAGATGGCGACGTCGTGTAGACGATTTGGAAGAGTATCAGGGGCGGCCAGCAGTCTTCGAAGACCTGGTTGAATTTGTAGCACGAGAAGCCAGAATAGCCACAAACGCTTCGTTTGGACAACATATGTATAGCAGCCGTGAAGGAGCAAGTGCAAAGCAGAACGAAGGGGAATTATTTTCCCAAAGTTATCAGAAACCTTTAGTTGCGGCGACGCGCACCCAGTCTCAGAATGACAGCGGGTGTCTGTTTTGCGGGGAGAAAACGCATAATGTTACGGAGTGTAACAGGCTGAACAGCGTCCCATTTGAAGAGAGAAAACAATTTGAAAAACATTTGAAGATGAAAAATGCTTTATGCTTTGGGTGCCTCCGTAGAGGCCATAGACGTTCATTTTGTCGCAGACCAGTGAGCTGCCAGCTATGTAACCGAAATCATCCGACGGCGCTGCATGATCGCACTTTAGAAGATCGGCAAACGCTGCTTAAACAGCCGCCTTTGCCAGAGGATACAAACACAGCCAATGCGACCACTTGCCGTGTCGCAGCAGACGAACTCAAAAGGGGTGCTATGCTGCCGTTGGTGGCTGTGAAGATCAAAAGCTCTTCGGGACAATACACTACATACGCCTTCCTAGACAGTGGTTCAACGCATTCGTTTATAGCGACGTCATTATTGCGCCTGCTCGGTATGGAGCACCGTCCCGGTCGGCAGCTGTCGCTGACCACGGTGCATGGTGCCGCTTCTATCCCGACTCAGATAGCAGAGGGGTTGTCCATTACTGACCTCCAGGGCTTCAATACTTTGCAGCTGCCACCCCTCTACACTCTGCCAAGTATTCCCGTTGACTCTGGTCATTTCCCTAAGGTTGCAGATGTTGAAA